CGTTACTGCTTATATTGTTTGATCAGTTTTGCATGTCTGTACCTGGTAACCTGAGCAACTACTTTGAAGACAACAATATGCAATATAATAACCATTCTTAATCTTCTATCATCTTGTTTTAAAATTCTGTATCATTTTTACTGGGTTGGTTTTTTTTGTCTTTTAAGATAAAAAAATAAAAATGAAAAAGTATAAAAGAACCCAAGGAATTTGAAGCAGTAAATTTCAGAATAATATAGTCTAGGATTAAGATACTTTATCAGTGCCTTACCCTCCTCAGTGATAAGACCGCCGAATAAGACGTCGTCTTTTTCCCCACTGGGATATGCCATGTCCCCACTCCTGCCCCTCACTCTCTTACCTGTGCCACCAAGAAAGCCCTGCCTGTGGCTCTGCCAGCTGTTTATCCAATTGAAACATTAATTTCCTACTCTGGAAGGGTTCATAGTTCAGGGCACTGCAGCTCCCCTAGAAGAAAGACTCTCCAGACAAACTAAATAATCTAGAAACTTCTTTCCTATTCATTGCTGAGCGAATACTATGGGCCAGCCTAGAAGTCTTCCTCTTGTGTATCTATGACTTTAGAGCTACTCAAATGCATACTGGCTTCTATTTTTTCCACCCCAGGGCCTTTCTTCCAATTTCTGAATTTCCCATATCATCTTTCCTGTCTGAAAACAGAACAAATAGAAGCCGAAGTACCTGATCAGAATGGTAAAACCTGACCAACTGGAACCGGGAGTTTGAACTCTTCCTGTGAGGGCAGCACTAGCAGCATAAACTGGTGCTTGTCCTGGCCTTTTTCCTCTTCTAGTAGATGAAGGTATAAGGTTGTATAAACCTCGTGCTTTTATACTAATGTTCAAACCACATTTCGTAACATCTAAATGCCACTAATTTTATAAGAAGCATCATGCTGTAATTTCCAATGAGAAAACGAAATTTAAAGATGTTCCACCAGTTAAATGATTCTAAAACACCTTTGAGGATGTCTCCGTAGGACTGGGTTGGTCAAAGCAGACTCGTGTGGCTTTGAAATCCATTCAGGCAACTTTGGCAACTTCTGCCCTGGGTTGCTTGGTGTAAAATGGGCAGCTCTTTTTAGTGATCTTAGCAACAACATGTAATTCTGGTTTTATTTTATCTCCTTGAGGGTATGTTTTTAAGCCAATAAAGCATTTGCTCACTCCCTTGCCAGAAAATGCAGACATACAACTGTCTTCTGAGGATGTTTGTTCATCCGTATGGAATTTACACACCTCTGCTTTCCTTTGCAGACTTTGCTCACAACCACTCTTCATTTCAGTGCTGGATCATAGCGTAACCTTTTCCAAGGCATTCAAATGGCAATTAAACTCAAGGGCTAGTACCAGGAGTGCACCCAGCATAAGGGAAGCAACACACTGACACCCATGACCGTGTTGGCCACTCCCAGGCAGTAGCCTCCTTAGCACATCTGTTGTTGCTGGCTGCAAAGGCTGTCCAGCCTCTCCAGATATACGCCTCCCGATCTCAGACATGTTAGTGTGAGATGCATTGTGGGAATAACTGCAGCTTACTATCTGGCTACCCAGGTGCTAAACTCTTACCAACAATTAACATCAACCAAACCTTATAACAGTTAGTATGTGCAGATTAAAAAGTTTAACCAGGTTAATGAAGTTACCTAGATCCCACAGAGAGGTAAATTTAGGGAACGATTCTGATCTAGACAGTACGCTTGTCCATTCTGCCTGTTCTGTGGTTCTATAGGCAGTATAAATTGTGTGCATATCAAATATACATGACAATTGGGGGACTTATTGAACAAACATTTATTTAATTAGTGGGACATGTTTGTAATACAGAACGCTATATTCCCAGTGTGGAGTTGGTTGTACATGTACACAGCGCATCTTAATTCCTTTGATTTTGTTTCCTTTCAAGATTGTGAACTGTCACTCCAAATATGTTCTGATCAGTTTGTTTAATATAGCTCAGTTACATAGGATTTGTGGAATGAACATATCAGAGTAACATATAATGAGTATGAATGTTATATGCAAAGTTCCTTCTAAAAGGAACTTGTGAGTTGGTTTCTGTTTTCACAAGTATGGAAGCTGGCTACACTCCTGTGTCATTTCCTGATAAAACCTTGCCTGTGAGCTAAGATGACTTGCCCAGTGTCAGTGAAGTTGCATTGGTGGAAAAATGTGGACCCAGATCAGCTCAAACCTTAATCTCCTGAGCCTTACGAATGATCTTTCCCAGCCGCTCCCTGTTGCAGAAGCGACGGGCCTTTATGACTAAGTTCGCTTTTTGGTAAAATGGACGGTGGATGCATGTAAATAAATCAGTTATTGTTAAAGGCTGGGAAAGCTGTTTTACTCTCCCGGTGCTAGAAGATGCCTTTTTTCCAGTGCGCAGCAGCCCCTGACCCTGGCTTCACTGAGGAGCAAGGGACCCCCTTTCAGACCAGTCCAGAGGCAGAGATGGAAGCTGCCCCGTGCACTTAGAGCACAGCGATGCAGACTAAACCCCTGTGGCTTTGTGGCAACAGTGATTTTGTTGCATGGACAGCTAAGTATGGCTTCTGGGAGGAGTTTTGTATTTTTGTTTAATTCTGTAGGAGCAAAACCCAAAAGAAAGAAGAATATGATTTAAGAGCTTGCATGGTCAAAAGAAACACCAGCAAAAAGGAATTACTAGGTCCAAACTGTTAAGAGGTCACCAGCGTCTAGCCCTAGTCACGTAGATATCAGAGCTTGCATAAATTTGTCTTCCTGAAGCCAGTGTAGAGATTGCATTAGGAGACTGCAACAAGCGTGTTTAAAAATCTGTGCATCACAGGGAGCCTCGGGCGGGGAGCGCCAGTCTTCCGGCTGGCTAGCTTCCT